AAATAGTTTCATAAAGTTTAACTCAATTCCATATAATCTGCGTATTTTTTGTCCTATTTTCGGGACATTCCGAAGTATTTCTCAAGCTGTCAACCATGTAAGAATGTGTTGCTTTTCAATATCCAAGCTCATTTCCGACTGTTCTTTAGATAAAAATGTACATATCTTAGATATTGTAACGATGCCAGTATCGATTAAAGGGAAGAAGTCAAAACATCCAACTCAGTTCCGTAATGAATTCAGGAGCCATTTCACGCTCTCCAAAACTTTTTATCACGCCGTTTCTTTTTACAGTCACAGAAGGAATGGGCGATTCCGATCCTCTTATTGACAACGTTTATTCTGCGGGTAATTTATGTATTGTTATTGGATGGGGTAGGGAACTGTCAATGATTATGCGCAATTTGTAACCGTTTGAGAATCGAAGCTCCTCCGGTACCATCGACTTTATTCGATTCGATTGAATATGTATTACCAATTCGCTGTTTGAGGATAATGGATTCTGTATTGATGTAAATAGGTCTGATAACTTTTCTTTCGAGTACGACTACATTTGTTTAGACATCATTATGGGATTCGTGTTCTATAACTTATACTACTATATTGTGATCCAGTTTTTAGATCTGAATAGCTAACAATGAGACATCACGCATGTTTTTAACTTAACAACTATTTCATACTGATTCACCAGTCTTGTTACAAAAACGCAACTGCTTCAAACACTTATTATTAACACACTACAAAAAATTTGAAGCTTTAAAATCCGTATTATAGTTTCAATAATCATATCGTTGAGTAGAACACAAAGTTTACCTAGCTCGGATGATCCAGTTATGCCGTCCAATTATTTTAAAATCGGCCCAAAAGCGATGCGCGCGCGGCCCGTAGCCACCACTAATGGAATAACCTGACCGGCTCGAGGCCACTTTAGTGCTTACGATGTGCTTAGCCCGTTAGGACTGAAGCAAGGTCGGAAGATGTTGTTTAATATTTCACAGGGAAGCTGAAGGTCTCTAGAAATAGTTCCAACCTTTATGAAGGAACACAGATGTTCAGAAAATTGATCTTGGCTGTTTTAGTTTCCGATCGGAGTTGGTGCTATTTATAGCCAGAAGTAATAAAATGGAATAGAAATACAGACCTTGATTACACAGTAAACATGATTAATATCCAAAAGAAATATTAGTAGACACTTGCTTAAAAGCTGTGGAAACTGAGTGTTATACGTATATACGATCTACATGAACAGGTCGTATCCAATACAATAAAATTCAAACTTTGATCACAGACTATAAAAGTCTTGTAGTGTAAACGTATGGTTCATAATGGCCGCTTCGAAATGGCACCATTTTCATGACACGAAATTGATATCGCGAGTAGGTGCAGCATTCAAAAATTTTAGAAAATTGAATTGACCTATATAATTGGTACCATTTCCTTTTTAGGGACTGCCTCATTAGTCAATTCGATGCTCAGGTCGGGCATAACAATAACCTATTTAAAATTTACTGATCTTGAACATTTTTCGTATTGACTACTACGCAGTCCGGGAGTGTCTTGGGTATAACAACAGGTTTACTCGTCATTTTCTAGAACTTATAGTTGGTGTAAAAACATACTCAATATGTTCTACTCTGCCTCTCCCCTCTGGGAGTAAAAGTCATTATGTTATGTGAACGATTTTCTTTTCACAATGTCTAGAAAATATAGGACACGGAAGAACCTTTCTATTCAGTGTAAATAAAGCGAAGAAGACATAAAAGCTAGGCGTTTACGTAGAGCTACAAATCTAAATTATCCGTAAGTGGGATCTTTTATCCTTTATCTTTTACGAAAGCTGAAAGCTGCTCTAAATGTATCGTCTCGTGTTGCAAACACTGTTCGTGTAGAACACAAACGACGTGTCCACTTAAAATTGGTACCTACCTACCTATGTCCTCATTAATTCTAGATTGTTTTGTTATTGAGACAGTCCAAAATATAATGCCCGCGAATTCCCAGCTACCTTCAACTGTCACCAACATAGACTGTCGATTGGAAAAGTTAAATATTATAGAACTTGAAACACAATACACAGCACCGGTTTAAATAAGAATTATGCACTTGTTGTTCTCAATAAAGCTACCTACTACCTAACTGCAAAGTAACTAGACTTTAAGATAATAATATATTTTACTTTGGTCTGACTAACTTAAAGTAAGTCCCTACTACTTAGGCATGTACTTAATTAGGTACCTAATTAAATATAACTTAAACGAAAATTATAAGTGTTAGATATCTAGTTAGGTATTCTAGGTTGTACTGGGAAAGTGAGAACAAATGGATGATAGTAGCATAGCAATTAAACGAAGTAAGTTAATATTAACCACTCATTTTGTAATGTTTCAAAGTTAAATGAATATTCTAGGTACATAACAACATCACGCCTTTATCCCCGAAGGGGTAGGTAGAGGTGCACATTATGCCACTGTACAATGTAACACCCACTTTTCACTATTAATGTTATGAGTCCCATGTACATGATAGGAGGTGAGCCTATTGCCATATACCGGGCACAATTCCAGACTTCGTGCTACTACTGAGAATTTTTTTAAAATCCAGAAATTCTTTGTTATGTACACATCCTAATAGATATTATAATTTCTTTTAGTTTACTTAACCGTAGTATTTTCTTCACAATAAGTACACATACCTAATAAAACAAATAAAATAATGGTCTTACGCAATTTTCCAGTAAAAAATGTACCTACTCAAGGAACTTAATGAAAAGTTTATACAAAAAATTAATTAATGTAGGTCCGTAGGTACCTACCTAAACCTTTTTAAATATGAACCAAAAGCCATCAAAGTGTTTTTCATATTCAAAGTTCGTTTTATAGGAGCCATCTTGAATTATTTTATTAAAATTTGGCTTAGACGTGGTTCATAAAAGTGCCACTTCTTAGGCCTCTCGCTCGGACCGGGATACTTTGGGAAATTTACATTTATATTGCAAAGGTATCTTATGTTTAAGCTTGTTAAAACTTAAGGGTGCGTCCGGAGTTTTGCTTGAAGAGATTGATGATATATTATGTATCCTGGTCTTGTAACTAAAGACCTAAGTCCTTTAGGACTTATTATGGTGACCTGAAACGAACACTGTTGTATCATGAGTGAAACAATCTATCTAAAGTTATCTAATATCGCCGTGACTCCATTCACTGAGAAAGGTGGCTTATGGAATTAGCCGGAAAATTAGGACTTCATCAGAATTTATGATTCGGCCACATGATCAAAGGTAACGCTTAAGCCACTAATCAAGCACACCTAATAGTTAGGTAATTAGTAGGCACATTATCATAACACTTCTTAAATTTCATAAGATAAGGTCATTTTCATATTCCTCTTGAAAAACGGAAGAGAATGACATCATTGAAATATTCAACATTTTAGAATGACGTAATTAACGAGATCGCGAAAGAAATTGAATTTACGACGTACGACGAAGATGAATATTTAGCATACCAATACCTACTTAATATTCACCAATCATTACTCTATGCACGATCAGCCCTTAACTGAGCAGGCAGTTTAGGAATAATAGAAAAACGTGGGGACAAAACTATACTTTAGGCAAGTCCTAACAAGCTAAGTGGGTCTTTGGGTACTTAGGCAGGTAAGTAGGTACTTATCTATGGGCTAACTGACCTTAACACTTTAAATGTCTAGAAGGTAAGCTTATCTAGGTACTCGGTACATCATTGGGCTTAGTATGACCATGCTTACGATTAAAGTAATCATAATGAGACCGCGTCCGGCGCGTCTTGATTGGTTGGTTCATTGGACCCGGCCAATCAGAGCGCGGAATACGGTCTCGTTTCGGTTACTTTAAACGTAAAACAAACTCGTATTTAGCCTTCTGAGAAGGTACGTACTGTTTAGGTACCAATATCTATATCTCAAATCTAAATATGTCATAATCTATCTAGTCCCCAAGTGGTCACCGGTGACCGCTCTCCACTTACTCCATTATAGATGTTATGTCCGATGATTAGAGACAACTTTCTTATGAACAAAAGTTATTGATTTTTCATAATCGAGGATTAATAAGTTAATGACTACTCACATGGTTTAGATATCTCTTTATTCTTAGTCTTAATCTAGATAAGACCTAATAAGCTAAATTCATTCATTTATTCGTCAATAACCTAGGTCCATAATTATAATTAGGAGGGTGTCTATATTGCCTCTGATAATTATATGCGAAATTTTTTAATAGGTATCTTACTTACTTGTGTAGGTACCTAGCCTAGGTACGGGTCTTTAACTTTTTAGATACCTAAATAATTCAATGAAAACTACCTACTTACATCAGGTAGGTAGATAGATCGGTCGGTACCTAAGTATCTATCGATAGGTGCCTATGTAAGTACCTAACTTAAGAGTTAGATACTATAAGAGTCAATATGGGAAAATGATATTTATCAACTAGGTCAAAGGTTAGTGTCTAATTTTAGCAATGTGCTTACAACGAAAATACGGCCAAGATACATTAACAGCAACAAGTCGGAAGGTATTGTAACTGTTCAAGATTCCGTTCAGTGTTTTGTGTTTTGTACCTAAGTCTTCAATGTTGACGATAAGACACGTACCTGAAAGTAATAAATAATTCAGTCACAGTGATGATGTAACTTTTGGGCAAATTCAATTTTGTAAAAAATATCCACTTTTTTTATTTTGATAGTACTTAGTTGCATTGTTGCTGTTAGTGCCCTCTATACAAAACATGATGAATTATTAGAAGTCTTCAACTATGTGAATCGAAAGGCAACAAAACCACAATCAACAATATATTTTTATCTCATAGTATATGTAACAACGTTTGAGAAAACATAAAACAAAAGGTGTGAAAAAATAATACACAATTATTTATGAACATAAGATCGTTTCTGATCAAACTGACAGCTTTGTTATCAATGTGACATTTCGTCTTCTGACAATATCATGCTGTCATTGTTGTCAAAAGTGAAAAGTTGTTCGGTTCAATGTTTTTGTATTAAATATATTGATTTTCACGGTAAAAATGACTGGACCAGAGGAATATAAATGTGTAAATTGCGGTGAAGTAGCGGCGGCATTGTACAGGACGTACGGACCATCAGTACTGAAGCTCACAAAATGTGTAAGATAAACATTACTAAAACAACTGCTGAGGAACTTATCGTCGCGTCTTATCTACACATAAACCGTCTATATTTTGCTAAAACAGTAAATTTACTCAAGTTATCCCATTTTAGGTATATGGTTGTCATTAAAATTTCTGCCATGTAGGTAATTCGATACTTAATGTGATGCAATGGACAACAGTGCTTAACTTCTTGTTTCACTTTACGAGACCTTTGCAAAACAATGACTTATCAATATTCTAGATGGATAATTTCTGTACCTACTTAATAAATTGATCTTGTGTGGTTTCAGGAGAAATGCAAGGGTATAGTGGATAAATACATAGAATATGATCCAGTCATAGTGATGATTGATCTTGTTTTAATGTCCAAGGAAGCTCAAAGGCATACACTCTATAATACCGAATTTAAGGTAAGAGATTACTCAACATAATACATAAATATTATTAAGCCTTTCCTATTAATTTTAAATCTTGCTATGCCCGATGGGGTCTGTAATTGTTAACTAATATTGTATTCCCTGTATGTATACATTATGTATGCAATAAATAAATACTTGAAAACCTACTTGTTTTCACAATTATCATGGTTTACCGTAAGCAATAATATAATCCAATGTTATTACTTAATTTCACTTAGATAAGTAATACTAAAATTCCTATTGAACTATTTCAGGCATTCTGGAAACTAGCCATTGTACTGGTGATGGTAGAAGCATATGGAGTGTGGAGGAGTGACAGTTTATTTAATATCGGAGTCAATTCTATTTGTGGCATTGAAAATAATTCTACTAATTTGTAAGTAATTTGGCTTTGTAAAATGCTATATTGTTCAAAAAAGTTACTAATGAGCATTACATGACCATTATCCCATGTCAATTAATTAAACCTAGCTTCACTGACAAACAGACAAACAGACAATTCAATTTTTGATGTATCAAAAGTGTACCTAATAATTGAAATAAATGCTTCTTGCTGACCTTAAGAACATCTTTATAATTGCAGAACTATACCAATCAACATATCACAATCAGTCCCAGAGTCTTGGAAAATAAACTGCTGGGCATGGGTCCCAGTGGAGAAGGGGGATGAGGACAATGACCTGTTTATATGGGAAAAAGACTTCTACATGCAGTTCACATCTACACTTTGTGGTTTGTAAATTGTATTGTTGTTCAACATAGTTTAGTCTGTAACAGCCTATAAGTCACCACTGCTGACCAAAGGTGTCTTCTCACACGCATAAGGTTTGAGTATCAATCACCACGCTTGTTCAATGCGGGTTTGTGATTTCAAAATTATAATTAGAAATTATAAGCTCAAATTTCTTCACCGTTTTTGTCGTCACCACGACATATAACCTTCAGTGAGACAAGGGCAAAATGATGATTTTCTAAAACAAGATAATATGCCAATATGATAGTAGCATGTCTTAAAGGCATGTTGGCATATTATGTAATATATGAATTAAAATTCATTCATTCATTTTTATTCTATTGTCTTACTCAAAAGAATTCCAATTAAAATAATAATTGATTTCTTTTTTTTTTATTAAAACGTTGCCCCACACTAGGATTTTTGTTATTGATTATGTATTGTTTCAGGTATAATTATATTTATAGCAACAGTTCATCTGTTGATGACAATGGCAACACCATTTTCAACACAAAATAAAGGTAAGTGATTGCTAGACCTAAGCTATCATCAATATTCTAGGAAGAGGTTGGTACACACACAATTTTATAACTTTTATACCTAAGTTTGTAATCAGTTCCTTCATCATTCACTAGTCTCATTTTGTAATAATACAGTTACAATGCAAAAGGTTTTATATAAACTGCTTTTGGTAATTAATATTTTGACGTGATAAATGAAAGCCAACTTTGTTTAAATATCCTGAGGCTTCATATTTCTATTTATTTTGATTCCAGTGCCCATAATGCGGATTTTAAAAGCCTTCACATTAGCAGACGTGAGCATATTGTTCACATTGCCGATGTTGGTGTGGGGCTCCGACACTTCTGCTGACACAAGAACCTTCCATTTTGTACTAGTCTATGCATACAGCTTCGTAGTATTTCTAAATGTATTTAGTGGTGAGTATGAAGTACCTATACGTCTATCAATAAATTCAGCCTTGGTTGTCAAGAAATGACTGCCAGACAAAGGTCTGAACCTCTCACGCTTTAAGATTTCTGCATCGGTAAAATATTGTCAAGGGTTTCGAGAATACCTGTCAATAATAGCATGGACCCTAGAAAGGCCTAGGTATTAACCCGCGGGAAGAGAAGAGTTGATTTTAGATGTTACATAACGTGTAACATCAACTCAATTAACTAAAAATAAAAATCGCGGGTTACTCACGTGAATATACTGAGAAAAGCTCTACTAGTTTCGAACCACAGAGGGGTTCTTCCTCGTGAGCAGCGTGCGCGGTCGTGGCCATGTCGCGCAGCCTACTGGTCAATAGGTTCGAAATTAGTTGAGCTTTTCTCAGTATAATCACTTGAGTAACTTAGTAATTTAGTATGTCTCACGATAGTTATCAAGTGAATTCCTTTGGCATAATAACAAAATGTGCCAAAAAACTTCATACTCCTAATTATACGTTTTTTTTACAGTAATATACAAGTGCCCGATAGTAATAACGATATTAATTCTAATAATAAGTAATATCACAAAATGTATAACAAGTTTCCATGCGACGGTCTTCTTGAAAAGAATATTCGGATATTGAGAGAAAAGAACAAACTGGTCATTCGAGAGATTGTGAGTCTGAAATTCAAAATTCCATCCTATTGAAGGCTACCGTTTTATTCTTACTAGGTGGCGCTGTGAATGATAATCATGTGTGTCCAATAGAAAACTAGCTGGTGTCAAACAATTGGACGTTAAATGTTTGACAGTTTCTATGGTTGGACAAAAATACTTAAGGATGTTAGCGCCATCTGTTGAGCAAAGAAACGGTAACCCTCGTTGAATGAAAATAAAATTAATAAGAATAAAATAATAAACAACTCCACAGTATCACAGAGTATTTATTTCAAAAATATAACCTTAATATATTTTGCTATTTATGGGTTTACTTAGCTAAATATATTATAAGATATAGTAATATACATGTAGTTTACATATGTTACACTTACATAGCAGTACACATAAGCACATATTACTATTGAAGCAATTTTTATAAAGTTTAATATGTTTAGGCAAGTGATATAGAATAATTAATAGAATTTGCATTTTAATTGTAGATAATAATGTTCCTGGATCGCATTTTACAATCTTTGTCACAAAAAATGTTATTTAATTTATAACATACCTATTTCGTCATGTTTATTCAAATAATTTTAAAATATCTGACAATAAAGTAATTAAATATTGATAAAAATTCGAAACAAAAGTGTGATACTATGATCGTCATGCTCCGACTGGTAAAAAAATATATCGGGAATGTATTTAATTTTATATATATTATAATAGTATTACTGCTTCTTTCCATTTTGAGAGAATATTTTAATGACTAACTCTAAATGCAATACTAAATTCATGCTGCTAAACTAAGCGAAGAAGCTGTGCTACTAGCTGCTTCTAACACAATCATACGAAACTATATTAGGTACTATAACTAACCACTAATATTATGTAGAATGAAAAAACAGAAAAATTATATCCAATATGTTGGAGTAAATTAAAACTTTATTAACTATTAAATTACTTAAATTGTCTCGTAGCGACATCGGCAAATATAACTTTTCTACTGGAATTTAATTTCAAAATAAATGAATCATGTTGAGAGAAAAAGTTGGTGAATAAGTATGCATAATTATGTAACTTTAACAAAAACATTTCAGTTGCATTTCAGTTTCTTTAAAAATTAAATTTGTGCCAAATTATTAAATCTAAAACCAATTACAAAATTCGACAGCATGTCTATAAATAAATACTTAACTAATAATTAAAAGAGATAATTTAATACAATACCATTAACCTTTTGACAACTTATTGGAATAAAATTATTTGACTTACAAAATTGAAAAAATAACATATTAATATTATAATTTTGTTACAGTAAAATAAGCCTGCATAATTTTTCATAGAAATACAATTCGTTTTAATGTAAAAAAGATAATCTAACTAGCTACAGCAAAATATACAAAATTAATTGTGAAATAATATTTCGTTTATAACTGGCAACACCATTCAGTCTTTGGCTAAATTGAGCAGAAGCAAAATCTAACATGAACTTATCTAAGAAACATAGAAAACTATAAAATGTTAGAACACATATGCAACATACTAATAAAATGGCGAATGTATGCTTAGGTTAGAAATAAAAAGATAACATTTTATTCTTAAACAAGTTAAATATTACTTCTAGAACTACAATCGGTATCCCTCAGTGATAATAAAGAAAAAGGGAAACTAACTTGTGCTGGACATTTAATTACAAGGATTGTTTTACTAAAAGATGAATCACAATAATTGCTAAGTTTCTTCGTCTCAGCATAATAAAGTTTTGGATAAAACAATGACAAGTTTTTACTAATTAATTACTCAATTACAACTACCTATTATAATATAAACCAGAATTTTTTCCTAAACAATATGAATAATTTTGCTGTGTGAGTTCCAGAGTGTTATTTAATAGTTTAAAATCATTAACAAACTATCACATACAGATAAAAGAAGAGTAACAATGTATTAATCATAAAGAGCTATCCTATATTGTATCATACTCCCTAATAGGCATTTGTTTACCAAAGTATGTTGTATAGGCAAGGTGATTCATTTACACAAGCAGGCGTCACGCACACATACACAGTTGTAACAAGCTATGACATGTGGGGAAATTATGTTGTCATTGATACTATCAGTTGTTGTTTTTATGTCAATTATAAACAGTGCCCTTTGTTCGAGTAACAAGAATAAATAATGTCTTTATTTGCTGGAGATAGTTGATTGGTTAGTTTAATCATTCGGAATGTGATCCGAATTTTTTTCATTAACAAATAATGACTATAAGACACTGTTTTGAATGTCAAACCTTGTATGTGTATGTCAATCACCTATAATATACTTAGCCAAAACGACAACATATAGAATATTTATTTTTAATACATTTTAACATTGTGTTTGGAAGTGTTCTGTTTGACCTTACTTGTACTCAGATATTTGGTCCGTTGCCAAATTCACTTTCCTTGATAACAAAAGAGTAATGTTGTGAATTTTATTGGCATTTTCTTTGTGCTTGTTTTAAAACAGGCATAATTTGCCCAAAAACTATTTATAGAGTTTCCGACATACAATTTTAAACCAAAATCTTGTTGCTATTAGTTTAAAGAAATATTAGTTATTCTCAATCTGTTACTTTCTAAAACTTTCTAGAAATTTTGCTTTATATAATTTTTTTTTACTATATACTTCTGAATGAAAATAATGGTGCAATGTAAATTCATACAGGCATGCTATGAATAAAAATTAAGAACATTATTTTTCCTGTTTAATAAGGAAAAAATGAAATCTATCAAAATGTATGTTGCAATAATGAAATAGGTATTGATCGAATAATTCTAACATTTCAAACTACCTGTTTCAAGTTGCCAGCATTATATTATGAAGAGACACAAAACAAAATAATTATCATAATCAATAACATGTTATCTTAATCCAAACTAGTATCAACAAAACACTTCCAAATCATATTCCCATTACATATAACAATTACAAGCTACATCAATAAATAGTATACAGCAAGGCAACTAGGGACTGAGAGGCGGGTCGTCGTTACCGATCATAACGTCTTCGTACATGACATCATGTGTCCGTCTTGCCTCAATCTTCTGCCGGACATAATCAACTAAATTGTACTTCCTAACTACCAACACAGCGCCTGTTATAAGGAGAGCAAGCGTGCATATTGTTACTAGAGCTACCGTCACGCCGCTGTGCGACCCTGACACGTCCGCCGGTGTCTCGCAATCATCCCCGACGCGCACAAACCCCTCCAGGCACTCACATTGATTCGTTTTACCAACACACTTCTGGTTCGCAGGACACGGATCCAGAACCGTTACATTGCAGGACAGGATGTGCTCTGTTAAAAAGAATAAACTACGTAACACACAATAAATTGATTCAATTAAATAATCGTTGGCTACTTAAACTTACCAGAGCAACCGTATTGTATTAAATTCAAGAGCAACGTCACCAAGATATCGATTGTTTTTAGACCCATGATGTTGTAACACTGCACCGAGAATTATTCACATTACAATTACTGCAAAATATGCTTAGTTTTCGTCTGTTTGAAAAAGCGAACAATACCTTTCTACCAGAAGCGCAAGCAAAACAAATGTCACAAAATATTGTGCTGTCATACTTCATACGCGTTTCGTTAGCACATTAAGTGAAGTTAGTTATTGTATCAATAATTCACAAATACTCGATTTTTACCATATAAATTAACCAATGATTTATGAAATATTTTTTTGCGTCTTTTTTTGTAAATTTTTAAAAGATTCTATTATTTTATATTTTCGGTGGAAACTTTAAAACTCTTTACGTATAATAACTAAACGTCTCAACGTTTCTGTCAACGCAGAATATTGTACACGATTCCAGTAAAATCAAACAAACGTACAGAGAAAATAAAACATCGGTGTTAAGTAAATTGTAAATACATGATGATATATTTTTGTAACATTCTTATGAAAATATGTAACAAAATATGTTAACAACTAAGATAGTATATAACAAAAGATTGCACACTAATAAACGCCCCTAGTTCTAATACCCGGTAACAGATGGCGTTATAATGTCAGTTAAAATTAATTTTAGAGGTCTACAATCTATCAGTCTAGTAATAATAACTATAAACTGTAAATTAATTTAGTCCGAGTCTTCTTCACCCCAAGTGTATTTTTCGGGTAAAACATAGTCTCTGGGATCGTGTCCAAAGGCTTCAACTCCACCGTTGCCATCATCAGAACCCTCTCTGTAAAGTAAAAATCAATCGTTATGATGATACCATCTTCGTCGACATCCCTCTTTTTTTCAATACCTAAAATTCTGAAAATCTTACTTTAGTTCAGAATGTGTGATATCTTTGTGCTGTTTCTGTTTCTTCTTTCTTGGTCGCTCATCTTCTTCGTACTCTGAATGTTCTGGCTCTGTTTCAGCTACAAAAGAAATGAAAAGGAAACCTTTTAGAAAATGTGTGGTTTGTTAGCTGAGTGTCTAAATTATGTTGGGTCTACTGTGTATATGGGAAACTGTATCAGGCAAAATGTTATTATTGAGTTTTTATTATTTTGAAATAAATTTCCGATTCGGTAGGTTACTTAAATCTCCCAAAAAGAAAAATAGTGTAATTATATTAGATGACATTTTTAATAATTTTTAATAGATATTTTTGCTTCTAATAGGTATTCAGTGTTACATTTAATTATTAATTGGTAACTGATATTAATCGGTGGGGTTACTGAAACGTGTTGTCTATAAAATTGTTGTAAAAGCAAAATTTTGATTAATCGTGTCAGCCAAGCCATCTGAAAATCCTTTTCAAAAACTTTCTGGGTCTTCTAATAAGATTTTCTGATTCACCTAAGGTTTCATAGTTGTTGCTGTAGGCTCCATCTTGGCCCTTCTCGTCCTGGCCATAAGAATCCTGCTTCTCAAATTCGTAGTTGTCTCCGGCCTTCTTGTGGTAGGAGTCGAAGTGTTGGTAGCCTTTCTTACCACCTCCTGACTTCTTGCGAGAGTAGCCTATCTCACCATCACCTTCGTTTTGGACTGATTTGTGCCAGTCATCCGGCTAAAAAAAAGAAAAAGGTAAGTTTGCACAGTCATTGTTGCACGGTATCCCTATTTTGCGCGAGAAGGTGCATTAATAGTAAAATTAACAGAACAGTAAAAACTGAATAAAAGCTTACCTAAGTCAGTAAGACTTTAAACGTAACAAGTGGATTTTTATTCCAAGCTAGAATTGAACTCTTGGCACATAGCGCAACGGGTAAAGGTCAGTCTTGGATACTTACGGCAGCAGCTCTAGTTTCTCTCACGTATGAGCCAACGGATATGGTGTCATCGACCATAAGAAGGTCTTCCAGAGTGTTGACAGATTCAGTAGGCAGGCTTATAGCCAGCTGGAGCAGGCCCAAAGCAATAGTAGCTAATTTTAACACCATCGTTGTATCTATGAAAACATTCGGAAGAAACATTAATGTGTTTTAAAGTAAAATATACAAATATGTGTTGATTCTAGCCATATTTTTTACCTGCCTCAGGCACGTGACACAAAAAGTACTTACAGTTGCTTTGACGCGTTCAGTTCAGTAGCAACTCAGCACAATAATTCAAATCTTTGTATTTTATATAACACGATATTGCAGCTACCTTGGTCTTTCACAACGGCTGCCTGGCCGGCTGACCTATGTTCGGTTCTTCTCGAGTACCTTCGATCAGATTAACAGTTTTTGTGACCATTTCATCAATGATTTGTTTAAAGTTATTTTGCGGTTAAAACCGTTGCTTGTGTGGTGACCTGTGACTATAAACAATCCGAAGAGTTTGTTTTCTCTTAACTTTTTTCGTAGGCTTTTTTATATTTCCGTTATTTTGTTCGTGCTGTTGGTAGTAGGTACTTATTTTTCTTATTGTTAAACCTTATCTAGAGAATTCATTAACCTAAAATATTTTTAGAAGTTAATAAAACCAAAACGATAAGGTATACACGGTTATTAATTATATTATCATCGTCATTACCAGTCATTACATTCCACATTATGCAATATAATGCGAAATATTAATAAAATAGAACAAGTATCGTAGCGCAGAAAAACGTCTCGTTCTTCATTGACGACTTTCTACAAATGTCCAAATGCGACGTAGTCCTTTTATTTATCATAGCATTATTGCAAAGCAATTACATCTACTTTTAATTAATTTCCTTCATCAGGTTTCTATGACCTTCAAAGATTTAGTAATGTTGGCAACTTGGCAGAAAATTAAATGTTTCATTACCTACTTTAAATGCTATTTTTCAATAGTTCATGAACAACCAACACAGCATGAAATTGAGCAAATACCACAGACATGAAATGAACTTGGGCAACGCCAATATGTCGCCGCTAGACGTTGATTAGGTACTTAGGTTATGAAACGATTGGATTGTGTGTTTGGCGACATAATAACAACAACATTCCAGGTTTGGTAACCCCTTTTTATTAAAATCTTACATTTGTTAGACCCATGGAGGAATAAACTCTCATTGAGTCAAGCCACAATAATTCCATTGGAAACCACCCAACATCGTTTTGAAAACATTGATTCTATAGGTATTATTATTAGCAATTATATTTTAGTAGACAAGAAGTTGTCTTCAATGACTTGTCTATACATGTGATTTGATAGTGCTCCTAAATTACCAAAGGTATCACATCACCTACTTTTATGGTGTAGCAAGCTGCGATTTATGCCACGGAATAATTATAACCGTTAGTAGGTGTGTTTATTTATTTTAGATGCAGTTCTAGTAGTAACCTCTGGTAATAGATAGTTGTGACTTAATGCTGAGATGGAGGCCCTTTTGGCAAGGACACACGCCGTTAAATGTTATTTATTGAAATCTTGTTTTTATTAATTTTTAATTACTGTGTTGTTATTGTATTGTCACTGTATTGTTATACTCTGTCTTTTCTTTGTTTTTTTTTCTATATCTTTATAAATATGTATATTTATTTGTTCTTTTCAAAATTTTTAAATTTGTATTTTTTTGTATCTGTGTGTGCCTACTGTCGAATAAATGTTTTTTCTTTCTTTCTTGTTAAAAGTTAAGAGGAGGCGGCAGGATCTCCTCCTGAAGCTCTTTAAAAACCGACATCGTGTCTATAGTGCTCGTGATGGCCCGAAAGTTTAAGACTCCCCCTTCTCATGCATGAGAGTGCGGGTTCGAAACCTAGCAACGACATGTACCAATGTGACTTTTTCCGAGTTATATGTACTTTTTAAGATTATTTAGACACCACTGACAAACGGTGAAAAAAAACAGACTAGACTTAAAATTTGTTATTATAAGTTTGCAATCGCCAACCCGCATTGAGCAACCGATTATTACTCAAACCTTCTCCGTGTGAGAAGAGGCTTTGTTGAGTAGTGCGTACTGCGCTTATAGGCTGTTGATGATGATGAACGTGTCCATAGATGGTACTAAAATAATACACAGGTATATTACAAAAGTATTTACTGAACAGCCGTCATTAAGCCGCCATTACCTATACTTTATCTTCACATTTTGAAACATTGCTATTTTTTTCTAATGTTCTATCGGTGAATGCCGTGTATACTGCTATGAAATTTCCTGGTTCTAAATAACTGCTTCTATTAGATTCCATTTTGCTTGTTGTAGTAGCTTCGGTTATAGGTTGCTCATGTACAACATCAGGAAGAACATCATACATCAGCTCCCATTCCTTTGTTAGTTTCATGTTATCCAAAGCACTTGCGCTACAAAATAAAAGAGACTTTGCAATCATCATAGACTCTGAAATAACTGCAGAACTAAAGGTACTCTTAAGGGATGCAAGGAATTAGTCCATGCTTTGGCAGGGGATTACAAATTTTGGTATTGCTCTCGTCTCTTGGCGCGTCGTTGCAGTTTATGGACATAACGGAGTCCAAGTCTAGTCCAATGGATTCAGATAAGATTTAAAATGTCATCGTAGTCCACGTTTTGACAATGAATTTGACATAACGTGGAAGAAGTTATATTAGACTTTGGAGTGTATAATTTTCTTTTTTGGTAGGTACTTAGTGCATTTACTCACATAGCATCATCAGCAACATCGAACCGCAACACTGGGAAGCCGACATCGTGTCCTCTCTGGATTGCATTTTTAACCAGCAGGTGAACAATCTCTGTATTTTTCGGACTATCGTGGGGTACTATCAGGATTATCTGTGGGTTAAAATTACAGTATGTATGATTCTATGGATAGCTAAGGAATTGTATGAAATCGTTTGATAGAATTCGCACAACTTTATTTGATGTTAAAAGCCTCTAGCACAGCTCTGGTTTGAAACTGCTCGAGTTCTTCGTCAAACAATTACGTGAGTAAGCCAAAAACCATGATAGATTAGACTTTATTTTAACTATTTTAGCTATTATTTTTGTTTCTAATAGAGCATTCATGCCGTTTATCTTTGATAACTCAATTTAATTCACCTGCAGAATATTATGCACTCGGTATTTGTCGTGCAGGGCTGGTGCACGTAAGCAGTGAGCGGTGAAGTGCATTAGTCTCCGGGAGCGCCTACACCTGACGCAGCGAGCCCACCGTTCCAGCAACATGGCGTCCCATGGGCATACTGCCATACCGAGCGCCAACCCTCGGATTTGGGACCACCCTCGTCGCGGTTCTTGTTGTTCTGCTAACATTGAGTGACCTGGGAAGTAGGAAACATAATTACTAACGCCATAATAAAATTAATAAGAATTGCAAATACCACAAAAATAGAGAGATAGAGATTGAGACGAATGAGTCAGCTCGATCAGAGTGATATAATGGCCTCTCTGAAAACCGGTGTTTCACCGTGCGAGTGGAGGTTACCAGAGGCCTATCGTCGTTCGGACTAAGTGTGTACTTGGAACCTGCAACATACCCTGTGCTAGTGCCCTTGCAACGTAGTCACACAGCACGAGCTGAGAGGGTGATGGTGGAGAGGAGATGAGTCCAGGCCAGGTGGTCTTAGCGTGCTCGCGCACGAACCGCAGTACGCGCGGCACGTCAGCCACGCGCGCGCGTCGTACTCGCAAGCGGTCACCATTATCACTCCCCTGCACCTGCGAACTGCGCTCATAATGGATTACCTGTACAGCTACTTACTTAATAACTTACTCTAGTATAGAAACTCATTTAAACTGGGCTTTTTAGATTTTCGACAATATTAGAAAATAATAAAGACTAAAATCGGTTAAAGATCGGATAAGCTTGACTGGACTAGCTCGCTTATTGAAATAACTATACATAAGTAAATATAGGTATGTTAATACGGTTTCAATTTTACATAATGGAAAAATGATCCGTTCCAGAACTATAAAATTAATCGAAAAAGAGTACCCATGGAGTCTTGCTCATTCTTCTATTCACATTTTGAAACCTACTTTAGTTATAAACCTGTAGGTATATCCTCAATATAAGGAACTACTAGCTAGCAACTGCTAAAGCTACTGTACTGTATGGAGCTGTGTAATGACCTGGGATCTCACCACAACGTGCTTTTCTTGTTTATCGGCGTAACTCCTTGTGGGGTTCCCGCTGATACAGCTCAGCGCGATGCGTTGTTTCCTGACGGTCTGTTTCGTAAAGAATTTCAATAAACTTGTCAATGCGGACATAGTGGGGCAGCTGAAGATTGATATTACTTATGTTCCATGTAAGTTCATATATATTTATGTATGTTTTTCATGTTGAGGTCTTTTACTTTATCTTGGAATTTAATTATTATAAAATATTCAAAAGTATACTAATGGTGGCACAGTGACGGCTGTTGTGTCAATTTGTTAGTTTTAACATTAGGTTTTCTGAATTTGAAATGCCTTTCCAGTGGCCAGGTATAGTAAAAAAGTTTTTATTTAGTTTTATTCAAGGTTTATATTGATTCAATTTTAAAGTGATTTTCAAAAACCGGTACCAAGTAATATTTACATAAAAATATTGATTCATACAATGGAATGAGCAATAAAATACGGAATAATTTTTACTTTTCTTTTTCGTTTCCACAGCCTTTTGATGAACAGATTCCCAGCTGCATTCTGTCATCTGTCACGGCTCTCAATTTCTTTCCATCTCTCAACTTGGAACCATGTCGTAAAATTATTTTCAAAAATATAATAAAATATAAAAAAATAGCAAAACAAAACTGTGAAAAAATCATGAAGTAAAAATAGATAAGCTATTCAAAATGCAGTGTTTGAACGCGTTGCGGGCAAGTGCCCTAAAGTTATCTACTACGGGTGTAGTGAGCACTGCCCAGCCTCACATCAACGTCATAACAAAAAGGTTGAAGAGGAGTTCTCCTTGTGATCGGTGTTTTATTCCAAAGCATAAGAAACCGGTTAGTATTTTCTTCATTGACATCAGTTCAGGACCCAGTACATCGATGCTATTAATTATGATGATCTATCGTGGTGGTCATTCCACCAGTCTCGTCTTCTCGTGAACTTCAATGTTTACTTTTATTTTACCATGTATTTGTGTAATGAAACTCAATATACTGTATGGTTTCTATTTACAGTGTTTCGATATTCGTAATATAATTATCGAGCGTGCAACCGAGTGCCACGGGAAGCTGATACGTTCGTTCCTTTACACGCACTACTGGCCGCGTGAGCCGACCATCGTCGGCTTGTGGATGTCCCTCAATAGCCCCCTTTTGGATGTACTCACAGATAAATATATGAGTTTTGGTAAGGAGGATGTCTTAGTTACATTGTATACATTTTAATGGTACCTACCTACTAAAACAAAATATTTTTAATGTAAAGAAAATGATGAGAATGGAGTAAGGTTTACGTAAACAATATGAAACAGTTTGCAATTATTTCAATTTTTATGGGGAATATCTATGGACACCTCCAATACCATAGGATGTCATAATTATGGATTAATTATGAATAGCCTATAAGGGCCAAGTGCTGATCAAAGGTCTCTTCTCACACGGACAAGGGGTTGAGGTAGAGATGGAGGAACATTGACATACTATAAAAAATGTTCTTGATGGATCTAATTTGAACAATGGACTTTGGATATTCATGACTTTGTTTCTACAGGCGATCGTATGTTGGCTTTTGAGCGCATTAAGAGAACAAAGGAAACCAAGTTAGTTGGTCTCTCGGTGGCCAGCAAGCTCTATCCGTGGACGGTAGGAGAGCTCGACGAGTGGGCACATGTCACCACCATCATGCCTGAGAAGTACAAGATATATTTCACTGCACATTGCCTCAAGCAACCCGATCTGTTTAGGAAGTACAAAGTTGACTATATTTATGATGTGAGTTTCTTTACCTTTAACAATACATACGCAAATTCATCTACTGATGTTAGAATAGTAGAATATTATTACCAGCGAGTGTTACAAAAGTCGATTAAGGAACAAACAGAGACCGTGGCGCAAATTAACCAACCAAGGAAAATTATGTATAAAAGGCCCATAGTCCTGCAGGAGTCACAAACGTTGATGATGAGTATGATGACGGATTGATTTGTTTATAAACAAAATCTCGTAATACAATGTCTTCCACAACTCGTATATAACTTACTTAGCCTTTTTTAACGCGTTACTCTTTTCAGTCAATATTTATTTAAATCTGAAGAGCATTCATATAAAAATGAAAGTAGGAGATAATAGAATAATTATATATATTCATTTTATTTAAATATTAGGTTGAAGTCCTAGGCTCAGCAGCAGAAGTAACCGGTCATGGTGTTGCTACACTACTCCTGAGGAATATACTGGACAACGCGCTGGAGGTGCGACACCCACTCGTACAGGTTGTGTCAACCAGCAGTTACACGTGAGTTATTTGTATTATACTACGAGCATCTGCCATCGGCTCCGCTCGCGTTCCCATAACATAACATAACATCACGCCTTTTATCCCCGAAGGGCTAGGCAGAGGTGCACATTACGACACTTAAAGCCACTGTACAATGTTACACGCACATTTCACTATTTATGTTATGAGTCCCATGTAATAGGGGGTGAGCCTATTGCTATATACCGGGCACAATTCCAGACTCCGTGCTACTACTGAGGTTTTTACAAACCCAGTAATACTTTGCCCGACCCTAAAATCGAACCCGAGACCTCTTGCCCGGCAGTTGCACTTGCGGCCACTCGGCCAACGAGGCAGTGATTGAATAATAAACATATATACAACAAACTTATTAATTAACTTTCGTATTCTCTTCATTACTGTTTTAATAATGTTGTAAACGAGGCTTATTGTCCAGCTGTGGATTCTTACGGATTGTTGATTTATTATATTTAAAACGGGTAACTTTTACATCTGCAACAAGTCGGAGGTGAATGTGCTGCACCGTCCTCTAAATCTTTAGTTACCTATTAGTGGATCTCCAAGCCACCTGCCCATTTTAAGGATTATCACAAAATATTGTTCAGTTGCAGAAGTTTTCAGACTGTTGGATGATGGATTTATTATAATTTTACAGGTCAAAAATCTGTGAAAAATGTGGTATGAAACTAGAGTGGTCCATGGATTACAAAGACTTCACAGACGAGTGTGGCCGCGTCATATTCTACCCCAGACGACCTCATCATTCAGTGGGTGTCTACGTCAAATTCAATGATCCAAGTAAAGGCGGTGTATTGCCGTGCAAACCTCAATACTAAACAAATTTGAACTCTGTAAACTATTGTGTCGAATTTTAATTCCGTCTCGTGATTTCAATTAATTTATTATATTTGACAGTGTCAGTTATCAATCCCTGTGAAAACTATTCGTTTTTTAATTCACTTAATATTTTTTTACCAAATACTGTAAATTAAAACAAGGTACAAAAATATGCGTTTCTTTTAATAAAAACAATACAAAAATATGGTAGTTACAGTATATTCTAACAGTAATAAATATTACGATAACTGCACTTAAGTACTAAATACTAGTATATCTTACTGAAGGCTATATTACTATTTTGGTTCAATATTTATAATTATATAGTTACGCACGTCTTTTGCTGATACATAAGTAGTAAGTAAGTAAGATAGTAAAAATAATGAATTCGTAGTAATTATATCTTCAGAGTTTATCTCAATCGACATCTTTCTCTTATCTTGTAATTATGACAAAGTTATTCCCGTCTTGTTAAAGTAAATGGTGTAAATCTTTATCACACACAACAAATATAATATATACCTATATAAGTAGGTCAATCAACTGCATAGTACAATACCCAAGTACCTACACAAATTGCAATTCACTTTCAGATACTTAGGTATAGAATCAACATTAGATTATTTAAAAAAAAAACAGACCATGACATTGACGAAACAAAAATGGGTTCACCTACTTATGTAATCTTGTTTGACGATTGAATTAATAGAAATAATAGCGAATCACCAAATAATAACTAATGAGGTCACAAAAATTTAATTACACAAACGAACAAAAAGTCTTGTTTGAATAGATACGTGCGATTTGATACGGTTTACGAAATTCAATGTGTTTGTTGCAGTCAGTACTTTGATAGAAGTGTATTTTAAAATTGTCTAACCTAAATAGTGAAAGAAGATTTTCAAAAGGAAGAAAGATTTCAACAAAAATAAGAAGAACAAAGCAAGAAAATAAAGTATAGATGACAATGAATACAATGTTGTACAGATAAGATACAGTGCTATATATGAGTATAAATATTATATAGACGTAGCTAATAGTACCTAATATTAAAAGAAGAAGTACAAAAAAATTTTTACAAGAAACTGAGTATGATATAAACGTATCAAAGTCACGTCCTTAAACGTTTTTTTAGAAATTGGGATATAATCGATTTAGCAGAACGAAAGCAATAATTATAATGTAAACGAAGAAATTATTGCCGCTTCACTGAACCGGATAGAAGATTCTGGAAGTGAACTAATAAATCTACAACAAATAAACAAATACTGTTAAAGTCTTAAGAACTCTTAGTGCTGGGATGTACTGACTGCAACTCATGACATACTTTTCGGGTCAATTGAAATTTTCATTAATGACAACAATTATGCGATTGTTAACAAACCATGAAAATAATTAACTATCGAATTACATCATGAAATCAAAAAAGTAATCAATCAACAAATCAATAATCACCATAACTTCTTTAAATTAGATGTAATATATCGCAATGATATTAGTAAAGATTACATCGGGTAGTTTATTTTTTGTTGAATATCTTCGATTTGCTTCATTATCGTTTCGTTACAATTCTTTTGGTAGTATTCTCACTACTCCTTCTAAATTCTAAACATACCACTAACCAGCTTAATCAGCAACCTTGCCTCAAAATACTCGTAGCAACGACATCGAACCTCTAAACTTATCACATAAAAACATACTATAAACCAACGTCTCTAAATGGCATATACTGCAACAGAATCCCAGAGGAAGTTGCCTCTTAACACCTAAGATATAGGATCTAGTTTTTCTTGTAGCTCCAGTGGGATCCTCCTTCCTTCCCACCTTTCCTACCGTGGTCTGCATGTTTCTCGTGATGTTCTTCGTGGCCATGTTTTCCATTGTATCCTTTGTGGTCAGCATCAACGTGACCCTTGTTGCTGAAATAATAAATCATAATTATTAAAATTATCATCAAGTAACTTCTTCTTTTGAGTTCTGTAATGTTAGATTTCACCACCCTGGCGAGGAATTTAGGAAAAAATCAAAGAGCATCAAACATATTTTCAGCGACAGCTATAAATAAATCCATTAGCTCATTAACTGGTTCAAGAGCAATGCTTGTTGATTGGATAACTAGGAAGCCATGACACCTAGTATGCAGACGGACGGATATGCAGCATCCTCTAGTATGTTCTATAAATATCTTTTATATGCTTCCTACACCTCACGTGTCTAGTTTGTGTAACATTGAATGAAACTATCCAGCCATATCACTACAAACACTACAAGATTAGTATTGACGTTATCAATTCTTATTTGTTTCTGAAGATACCAACCTGTATCCCTTCTTTCCTTTCTCAACGAAGTCATGTCCAGCATTGACGTGATGAGCCTTCTTCTTACCACTCTCGTTGCTGGCGTGTTTGGCATTGAACTTGCCGAATCTGTGGTGTTCACCACTCTTGTGGAAGTCGTCGTAGAACTTGTGTTCCTTGTGGAATTCATCCTTGTGGTACTTGTTGTGGTAGCCTGGAAATTGGGAACGTTGTTTAAGGAACAAGTATCGTTGTCTATCTTGTTAAAAAGTTTCAGTCACTTGACAACAATTATTTCAAAAACAAAATTCTGAACTCTACGTAACAAGACGCCAAGTAATGTAACATTTCCTTATGGACAACGGTAAAGTTACGACAACCTGTAACAAGTAATGTTACAACAATGAATAGATTTTATAAAGGATTACATTCAAAGTCGTGACGCTCCACATTTTGGGCTACATTTTTTGTCATACAATATTTCTGAAATGAGCGTGAAGTCAAATTAAATAGAACTTTAGTCACGTACACTTGCAACGAATGCTCCCAATCTTGATTATGACAGTGAAAAGGACTTTGAAGTGCAAACTCGTGAGTAATTCTTTGTGAACGAATCAATGGAAAACCGTAGTATTGCGGTTGAGGTCAAATCAAATTGAATTCGAATAACAAATAACTTTACGTAACTTGGCTTTCACTTGCCGCAAATTGTTACATTTTCTATTATAATAGACAGAACTGCTTTGCCTATGTTCAAGCTATTGTCTTGTGTTCTAAATACACTCGAGTGCCGAATGTAGGTAACATTACCTAATTATTACATGTTTGCTTTTTATTTGCATTCTTCTTCTATTTTCTTTATTTATTTTTAAGTAACTACAGTAACTTGCTATGATTTCAAAAGTTACATAAATTGGCCGGAATTGTTTCTGTGACTGACAGGCATTTAGAATTGATTATCGGAATGCAGTGTAGCTTTACTTTTTTCTTCTTATTACACTGAAGTGGTATCGTTCAAAATCTTATCGACATCTACAACTATAATATAATCATTATAATTATGAGCATGAAGATTTACAATGATGGAATTAAGTTTTAGCCACAATTCACTTAAGGTATATTTTTAAATTAACTTACCCTTGGTCTTATGTCCTTTTTTGTGTCCCTTTTTCTCATCAAACTTAGCTCCTCTGTGTCCGAATGCTTCTTCTTCATGGCTGCCCTTATGTCCCGCATGGTCGTGATGCTTTTTCTTCTTACCGGCGGCTTCTTCGTATTGTTTCTTATGGTGTTCATCTGTTTTGAAGCCTTTACCTCCCTTATCTAAATGATGGTCTTGGTGATAACCTTTGGAAGTCTGTAATGACAAACATTATCGTTGTTCAATATCCACTTTGACTTTAGCTAGGTATTTGTATTGATTTCAGTTAAAACAAAATAATAAGTCACGACCTGTATTTCTCGAAGAGACAATCAGAGGTGAAGGTACTCCTAGGTTTCATGGAAAATAGGCTACCATAATATCTTACAAAGAGTGCAACTCCAGGCATCGTTGATATATTAAGAATCAATATATCTTAAAACCCAACTACTGAGCTTAGGTAAGCACCAATGTAGATAAATAAATACTTTAAAATGTTCAATGGTTTAATAATGATAATCAAGATATTTAGTTTCAAAAGTATTGTTATGTTATTGTCACGTGTTTGACACATATTATTGCATCCAATAAAACATTTGGTAGATAATGTTAAAAGACAAAACATTTATATTACTCAAAGATTAACTAATGTGTTCTAATTTTACTCAGTTTCAAAGGACAAATTGAGATTACTGTTTCATATATCGGTTACACACAGATCAATACGCACGGCATATTGTTGTGGTTGGAAGTTACCTACCGTCATATTGTAAGGTCAAAGACCTGTTTTCGTGTGGATATTAATTGTAGTGCCAAAAGCTAATTGCTTCTTAATATTTTGTTTGCGTATCTAATTATCGCCTCTCATTCTCATAATACCTCTATAAAGGTCAAGCCTATCCCTTGTCATATGTCATAATGACTGCACGGTTGGTGCGGTGGCTGGGCAACCGGCTGCCGTGCAACGTGTCGCGGGTTCGATTCCCGCACGGAACAACACTTTGTGTGATCCTCAAATTGTTGTTTCAGGTCTGGATGTCATTGTGTATGTATGTTTGTAAACGCACCCACGACACAGGAGAAAATCCTAATGTGGGGCAACGTTTTTATATATTAAAAAAAAAACAAAAAAAAACCGGGACCACGGTTATCGTATTATCTATTGCGTATTTTGAATTTTGAGAAACGTACTTTCCCGTCCCAGGACCTGAACTCGAAACTCACGAATATTTCTATTAGGCAGTTTTTGATTAATTACTTACTGAGTTTCCACACGAATGTCTGTGAAGTAATATTCTTCAATTAAATTGGTTGCTTTATTTTAGAGGTATAAAGCGTTTCACTATTTTTATGACTCTGTTTCATTACATTATTTGGCTAATGAACGGTTTCGCTTTGGTCCTTTATTAGAGTAATAAACTATTATGTAATCAAAGAAGTTTCCTACCTTGCCTCCATGCTCTGCAAAATGTCCTCCATGTTTGGCGTGTCCACCTCCCTGAGAATGTCCGTGGGCATGCTTTGAGTGATGGTGTCCAGTTGATGCACCATACAAGTCACCTGAAGCCAATTGCTTCGGAGCCTGGATCAATGGTTCAGAAGACACCGGCACTGGGATGGGATTATCTACTGGAATAGGGTTTGAAGCCAAAGGAACAGGGCCTGGAGGACTAGCGATAAACTGAACTGGCTGAGACTGCACTGCTTCTACCGGGGCGACGTTCGCCGCTTCAGCAATGTTAGCACTGTTCACATCAGGTCGCAAGTACCGAGGACTCGGGGCGTACACTTTATGGTAGTGGTTCGCACTCGCGGCGAGCATCTCCTCATAGGGCGGGGATTCCATCTCCCCATCATCTGTGAATTCGTGGACCTCATACTGGTGGAGCTGACGAGGCACCCGCACGTACTCCGCAGCTCTGCGAGTTCTCGGCTCACAACACCGCTTCACCCGAACATGTTCCTCAAAAGGCCCTGCATCATGAACATCGCGTCTGCTCCTGGACGGCTCGTAGTCATCATACGAGTCGTCTACATCCTCTTCCTCCACCCAGGGCTCCTCCGCAACCTCAGCTGCGGCGATTGCCAGCAACACCAGGATGACCACTGGTCGCATCTCGTACTTTAAATGATGTAGAACTGATTTATTTTTTTGTTTTATACTTGTGAACCTTTCACCGTTGACTAACAAAGGATCTTGCTAAATACAGTTGCGTTGATGTTAGCTTTTTATACAAGACAGTGGGTAAATGTTTGTTGTGTACGGGCGGCCGGGCGCGCGGTACGGTCAGCACTGATGGCAGACGCAGCCACCACCTAGAAAGCGTATAACGACACGGAGCAAATTAGTTTTCCCGGTGCATTATTTTAGCGATTTTTCGACCGCAGTGAAAACAGCGACCGTGAATTGAATTAAACTTTTTCTAACGGTCCGGCCGTGAGATCAGGTTGCGTAAGCAATAACAGGAGGAACTAAATGATTAGTATGCGTGAACTTTGACAGACGATATAACTTGCTAGCAGGTAGCTTACTATAAACTATTTCCGAGCTGCCCCACTTGCAGGAAACACTAAATTATCTGTAAAATAATGATGTAATGATGAATGATAACGATCACGACAGAGATAGAAAAATAAGGCAAATAATGTTTAGGATGCTTTTTCATTTGAGTTCCAAAATACTAAGAAAGCATTGATTAAAACTCTCTCGAGAGAATCAGGTGATAATATAATTATCGTCGATTAGATGCGGTTACTATGATTATTATGATCTGATTTTTTGTGGATGTAAATTCACAAAATAACAAATCATTATCAGAATTTACTATCTAACGTTAAGACAATATTCTTAATTGAAATTATTTTACAATTAGTCAAACAGCTTGATTTGCGTGTAATTAGTGTTCCTTGAATAAATAAACAAAAGAAATGCGTGGACGCATTAACATGAATCACACAAATGTCGGGACAATAAACAGTTATCTTTTAAATTAAATATTGTCTACTTTTAGACGTCAATGGTGATAAAAACGGATTTACTAATCAACAAGCTAAAGAACTTTAATTAAATGTTGTGGCAACACTAATTAGTGACTAAGGAATGTTTATATTTGCATTGAAACTTACTTTCACTACCTAGGCGCCTTTAATTTATTGATCCAAGACACGAAGCGCTTTTAAACTCTTTGATTAATAATAATTGTCTGTTCTTCATAATAAATTAGTGATATATGACAAGTGTGAATCATACCAGAGTTTTGATTTACTATTTAAGATAGTGACGGATGTGATTTTAACATGGTAAGTGATCAAAATAATTATGATAGATAAGATAGTCGTAAAGGGAATTGCATCCTTTTCGAATTGTATATATGCCTATAAAGAGATCAAAGCAAGAAATTGTATGAAAACCTACTCTTTATAACTCAGTCTAACATCACACTTTCCTTTTGGAACAAATAATCATCTAGTACTTGTAAGACACCTTGTTTGCTAGTTATGAAGACCTTAGTCATTCTGCAATATTTTCACAATTACAGCAATATTTATTAATAAAAACGGTATAGAGTTAACTTCGACCTCAACACACAAAGTTGAGATGTTATCCAGCCAGTGGTTCCGTAACTCAGCCTCTCCTTGACCAAGATGGTGGCTGAATGCTGCAACTGCACTTTTTATACACTTCAACTATTGCCATTATTAGTATTGATTGGCGTACGTTCCTTCGTATTTACAAATTGTACTTAGATTTAGAGAATAGTATTTTCGGAGCATAACGTATTTTAAGATGTCTCGATGTTCCAAGTTGGTTGAATAGTTACAAGCAAAACTGATTCCTTCCTAGGTCACACAAACCGGCAACGCATTTATAGATTTCCAATTTTCTAAATAATCAGGACAAACCTGAACGCTCCATATATTTCGAAACTCAACATACTTCCACTACCTATTATTTTATTGAAGTCATACTCTGTTTAAACGCTTTCTATTAAATAGTTAAAAAGATATTTCATCTAATAGAAATATCGGGGCTACACTGGGTTGGGCAGTAACAGACACACGTGGGTTTTCCATAAATATATTTCTGGCTCATTTTCAATTTTCCACTACAGTAAGCGTCGTTAAAGGGTCAAGGGCTATTCACCAAACGTTTTTCTTTAGGTAACTCACTAAAATAACCAATCTGCGATTCGCATACCTAACTCAATTAAAACTAATAGCTCCCCAGAAAACCCGAGAAATGAGTACCTACATTGTCATTTAACTTTTTTTTTACTCGAAATAAAGAAAGCAAATGCAGTCGTTACGTCATCATTCAAATAAGTGCACATTGCGCAAAACGTTCTCATTAAGTATACAAAATTAATTTCAAATTAAATTTCTATTTTATTTATTTCATTGTCAAGTTTGCCAACAAATGTTTCGTTGGCAAACAATAGAAGTACCTGTTCATATTGTTAAAAGATACTAAAATCTTTAGTTCTTTTGTTCATAGCTCGCCTGGTATTCGTTTCGGAAGGAAAAGTTGGTACTTACTTAGTTTTATTGTTGACACAATCATCAATTAGTAGATAGTAAAATAAGTTTTGATTAACGGTTTCCGATAGTTTTTCAAGGTTTTTTGTGGAATTGGTTCGCTTTTAGATGTTCAGAAGTAAAGTAATAGTTAGGCAGTAATGTAAATTCATAGACTAGGTAATAAAGTTGTCGTTTCGTAACATAATAAAAAGAAAACCACAACATATTCGTCAGTAATTTATTTCACCGTGTTAGTAAACAAATTGATACATCTAAAGCAACGGAGTGCGATATTTATGTTATTCGTAATATCGTCCAACTAACTACGTCCTTACTCAACTATTTACAAGTATCATACACTTACATCTAATTCTTATTGACATGTCCAATATATCTGCATAAATCAATTCACCTGCTGTGTCAGTACCAATTGAAGCAGATCCCGAATCTGGGACAACGATAAATGTTGTTTAATGTACAATTCAAATTAAAGAATAATTTCATCATTTTATATTTGATTTTGAACAATTACGAAAATCTTAAACTATAACTGTGATTGTAAACATTTTTTAATCATCACGACTATAAAAACAGAGCGCTGTTAGTGACAGTAAAAAATAATTGCTCATTGTGAAATGTAGACTATCGTCATTGCAAAAAAACATCGTAAAAGGAACAAGATAACAACTGATTTTCACGAACAAATATAATAACTACTACTTCTGTACGTCTTACATTTAGTAAATATGGCACAAATATTATCGAATATCGACTAATAATAACTTTTCAAAAGTCTTTTATTTTTCGTTAAAAATACTGTGTACAGCGATACATATTCATTGTGTTACATAAATAACTATTCACTGTTAAAATGAAGGGAAATACTATAAAAAGAAACTTTATTTCATTCATGGTTTATGAGACAAAGTTTGACAATTATATTATTATGTAACACAAAAAATTGTTCACCAATCAAAGTCTAACTTACAAAACTAATTAATAAGTCTTTATCAAATGGTCTGACACAAATGGTGTGAACTCGGGATCTTTAATTTTCTTTTTCTTGTGTAACGGACAACTTTTCTGCTTTTGTCCTGTTTCCGATTTGTTGTGTGTCAGTTTATAATGACTGGATAATGACACGCTTTTCTTTCTATGTTCAGTTTTTTGGCAATTATTTTTATCTAAATTTCTTCCAGCGCCGTTCGCAGTCGTGCCACTGTGCAGTGTGTTTTGTCCTAATATTCTAGAATCTACTTGGTTTTGTTTTAATTTGTTCGTGTAGTGTGCTGACACTTCTAGCTGGCTGTGATGCAAACACGTTGATGTAATCTGAAATTATACGGATACAATTAGTCTGCGTTATAAAGAAATATGTCGAGTTGCAAGTGCACAATATAGTTAATTATCTTACAGCTTTGTTCGACAACAATAAAACTCTTTTTTAACCGACTTCAAAAAAGGAGGTTGTCAGTTTTACCTGTATGTATGTTTGTACGCGATTACATCGCGATTGCCTGAACCGATTTTAATGTGGTTTTCAAAAAAAGTGTTAGTTATTAAACCGACTTTAAAAAAGGTTGAAGTCGTTTATTTAAAACGTAGTTTGTAAAATAATTATTCGTGTTCTCAATCATAACCAAAGAAATTAAGTTTAGTAATAAAACAGTTTTAGCACTCACTGGGGAGGGCTGATGTCTAGGCCTCGCATAAAGTGCAGCCCGCTCGGCTAACTCACTGCGCAGCCGCCAGGCACGTGCTGCTAGAAGCCGTCGACTGGCTGGCTGACCATCACCGCGGACACCATGCCATCTGGAACCAAGAGTCAAGAGATAATAACAATGATTTTAAATAGAGTTTACTTTCACGGACATTGAAAGAAAACAGAATGTCGATTGTAAGGAAAATGTTGGACAAAGCCACTACTGACTACTGATAAGATTTTTAAGAGGTTTAAGTACCGCATTATGTAAGTAAGTTGTTGATTTGTATATGCAGGCACTGAGAACGCAAGAAGACATGGTATTGAATTATAAATTGTACCTACGTTATAATAATGATAAAAGTTTAGTCATTACCTGACGAGGAGTTGCAGCACCCTGCTGTACTGGCCCACGGACCGTAGAACAAGGCAGGCGGCACGAAGTGACACCACCTCGCCTCGTGCACTGCCGTGTGCCGAGCTGAACGAGAGCCGCATGGCGCGCGTGTAATACTGTAGGGCTAGTGGTTGGAGACCTGCAATGGAATGTTCATCTGAAAGCGAGTTCCCTTAGTTCGCATATTACGTTTTGCTTGCCTAAGCACCGGCCCAACATATTGGATTCATAATTTACGTCCTCAGTATGGAAAATCCCACTTCGTTCTTTTTTTTTATGGGATAAACCGGTAAACGAGCAGGCGGATCACCTGATGGTAAGCAATCGGCGCTGCCCATGGACGCCTAAAACATTAGAGGCGTTACAAGTGCGTTACGGACCTTTAGGGAATTGAGAATTCAAATTTTACTTATCCAAAGATCTCCCATAATCTTATCCTGCGATCATTACGAATACTAAAACAAAGGTAGCTAAAAAATGAAAATAGTCATAAGATTAGTCAATTTGGAATCTCTTGAACACATTTTTAAGGTTCATTTGCACACGACTTCATTTAAACTGTCAAATACAAAGCGGTCACCGGTGACCGCAACCTATTGTTCTATAATTGTGTCTGCAAAACCGGTACTCGACGAGTTAATGTAGAAGAACTCACTTAAGAAACAAATGAGATTCGACAATCACTTCGCGTGAAAATGGATTAAATGAACTACAAAATCATTACAGAAATGGGATCCCTCACCTCTATCTTTGTACCAGTTGCCATAAAGTAGGTAGTGCTCCCAATTTCTTGGCTCCAACTCCAGTAGTTTGTCAAGAACACCTCTCTTCTCATTTTCTGGTTTGAGCAGTAAGAGTTCAAGATATGCCTGGACAAACCTCGGTTCTAAAGATATACAGCGTTCCAACATCTTTAGGGATTCTGATATTCGATTTTTCTTTCTGGAAAATAGATATTATATGGATAAATTACGATGTCTCTCGTCTTCGGTCATAATACCAATTAATGGGGTAAGGTATATTTATTTATTTATTTATTAACGCTTCATGCACAAAGTGTACACAAGGTGGACTTAATGCCGCAGGCATTTTCTCCCAGTCTGACCTTTGGGTGATGCAGAGAAGAGTGAATGGTAGGAGCAAGAAGCTAGCAACGATTTAATTGAGAAAATAGAGGACTATACTAACATATTTCAGATACGAACATAAATAAATATAATATATATAAGTATAACATACCTGTACAATTTGGCAAGATTATAATGAGCATTGACGTGATCCCTGTTATATTTGAGAGCTTGCAAGAAGTGGTGTTCAGCTCGACCTGACGCCAGCACCAATGTGCCTAGGTTGTTGTGAGCACTCGCGTAACTTGGCCAGAGCCTAGAATATTAAAAACATTTTTTTAAACACGACAAATATATTAAATTTATGAGACTGAACAGATTTGGTAAAACATTCCTACACTCCGTAATAAGGCAGAGTATTGGCTTATGATTGGATTATTTTCCTTGTCAATAAAGTGACTGCCGAGTGGTCGCAAGTGCGACTACCGGGCAAGGGGTCTCGGGTTCGATTCCCGGGTCGGGTAAAGTATTAATGGGTTTTAAAAAAAATCTTAGTTGTAGCACGGAGTCTGGAAATGTGCCCGGTATATGGCAATAGGGTCACCCCCAATTACATGGGACTCATAACATAAATAGTGAAAAGTGGGTGTCACTTCTGTGTGCACCTCTGCCTACCCCTTCGGGGATTAAAGGTGTGATGTTATGTTATGTTATGTCAACAAAGTTTCCTTATTTCTATGAGTTCGTACTCACTTTAAAGCTTCCTTATAGTGTTTGATGGCGTTCTCTTGTTGTTCAATGTCCTTCAGGAAGTTTGCAAAGTTATAATGTAACTTAGCATTGTGTGGTAATACTGATAGGTCCGCTCTGAAATAAAAAGGTACATTTTAAGTTAGTTAAAAAGAAACTGTAGTGGATATCTCATTACAAAAAGACTTGTAATAAAATCTACTTATAAATAGTATAATATATAATAGTTTCTGCTTAGTACCCGTTAAGAACAAAATAGGATGTAATCAATTTAACTACTGGTTCCTATTTAATTTGTGATTAATTCAATTTAACTAAAACTTTATATTGACTCTGACCTTAACAAAGTTTCTCTAGTTCTCCAGTCTCTATTCCTAAGATGTGTCCGGGCAACTCCTCCTGCCACCAGCACTGCAACTCCAAGGATCAGAAGTCTGCTGCCAGAACTTCGTCGCCACATCATCTGGACACCGTACACCGTAATAATCACTGAGCCCACACTGGAATGACACGAAATAAAGATGGTTAATTAAAAAATACATAAAATTTTGTCACAATTAAGCGTTTATTTACAGTAGCCGTAGTCAGAGCAATGTTGAAATCCTTCAAATTCCATAAATCTTAAGAGACTGAAACTACACCATTGATATCACCTTTGTTGGACTGTAGAATGTAAATGGAAGGTACCTATTTCATGTAAAATACTTTAAAATACTACATATAATTTCAGCGGAAATCCAATTTTTTTTTATACTTTACTAGCTGTTGCCCGCGACTTCGTCCGCGTAGATTAATGCCTTCTGACAGAATTCATCAGAATCAATTCAGTGCCCAATTAAGATTTACCTATTGTGAAATGATTTATCGTAATTTCAATAAATTAAAAATCCCGCAGGTTTCTTACCAGTCCCGGCCCGATCACGTAAGTTTTGAGTAATAAAAACTTCGACTGTTGTACAGAATCTCTATGAAATAAGTTCAGTGGTTAAAAGATAGAGAGTCCTGGAGCATTGACGCATAGTTCCCGTTCCCGAGGGACTTCTGAGATAAAAACTATCATACGTTACTCAGGTC